GAGAACATTCCACAAAGGCCCTCCTTTGAAGAAGTAAACAGCAGACAGAAGGTGCTAGCTTAAAAAGAGAGAGGCATCTGATTTCAAGACACCTGTGTCCAGGACAGGCAGGTAAGGGTGGGAAGCACCCAGAACTGGGCTTCCACGTCTGAGGTGCTTCTGCAAAACAGCAGTCCAACCCGGTGGCCACGAGAAAGAGCCTGGAGGCCACCTGACAGGGTTTCCACTCAGCGGCTATATGACCTTGAACAAGTCACTTCACCTTTATGGGCCTTTAGATGCCTCATCTATAAAAGAGAAATTACAGTATTTGCCTTATAAATGGCATTTAGAAAACGAAATCTGGGAATATGTGTAAAGCACTTAAAACAGTGACTGGCACTCAAAAAGCATTAGGTACTCTAATTATTGTTCCCCTGTCACCACCCCTCCCCCTCCAGCTGGCACTGTGGGCATCATGTGCCCATGACAACTGGACTGGACAGGTACCTGACAGGTCAGGTCCAGGATACACCCTTGGGTCTATGGTCCTTTAGTTCACACTCTCCAGAGAAAAAAGCTGTCTGGTCAAGCATCCAACCCCAGGGGCTAGGAGTTACCATGCAATGTAAAACACGGCCCTGAAGACTAAGGAAGTCTAGTGTTTTATCCTACTTGCCACCTAACGGGTCAGCAGACTGTGGTTTCACGGGTGTTAGCAGGAGAGACACAAGACCCTGAGTCCAAGACAAAGGAGTGCATTACTCACTAGCCAACGGCCACATCCTCATGTGGGCCAGGTCAGTGAGACCCAGTTCCACAGCACCATGAACAGGCCATGGGTTCGTTACACAGAAGGAACCCCAGATCTTTCGTAACGGGTAGTAAACCTACCTGACCTTTGCCCTAGAGGGAAGCATTACCCTTACTGCATGCTTGTAAACAAACCCACCCTCTGCTCTGAACAGAGAGAGTATCTCTACCTACTAAGGGTGTTCACCATACAAGCATCCTTGCAAAGACAGCCAGGAACAAAGGAGGTCAGTTCCTCTGTTCTTAAGATATAAAGAAACATGAAAGACCTCTGTTTCCCAACAATAACTACGTAAATGGATATATATACTATGTTCATGGATTGGAAGGCACAATACTGCTAAAATGCCAATTCTCCGCAAATGAAATGTCAGTTAACATAATCCCAATAAAAATTCCAACAGGATTTTTTTGGGTAGAAAGTGACATGCTGATTTCTCGAATTATCTGAAAATGAAAAGAATGTAGAAATAGTGGGACAAACTTTGAAAAACCAGAACAGTGTTGGAGGATTTACAGTGCCTGATGTTAAGATTTATTATAGAGTATGATATTGGCATAAAGACAAAAATGGATCCATAGAACAGAATAGCAAGTCCAAAACCACAGCCTCACATATACTGTCATGTGATCTTCAACAAAGATGAGAGGCAATCTGGTGTAGAAAGCAGCCTTCATAACAAATGGCATTATGCCAACCAAGCAGCCTTACATAAAACAAGAACTGGGATTCTCACCGCTTCCCACATACAAATATTATTCCAAAATGCATCACAGACATAAATGTAAAACTCAAAACTTTAGAACTATTAAAAGAAAACAAATTTAGGGACACTTGGGCAGCACAGTCGGTTGAGCGTCCAACTTAATTAAGCTCAGGTCATGATCTCACGGCTTGCGAGTTCAAGCCCCACAAATGGGTTTGCTGCTGTCAGCGCAGAGCCTGCTTCAGGTTCTTTGTCCCCCTCTCTCTATCCATCCCCTGCTTACGCTCTCTCAAAAGTAAATAAAACATTAGAGAACAAAAAAGGTAAACAAATTTAAAATTTATGTGACCTTGAATTAGACAAAGAATTCTACACCAAAAGCCCAATTCATAAAAGAAAAAGAACAAGTTAAACTTCATCAAAATTAAGAACTTCCATCCTTTGAAAATGCTTTTAAGAAAATGAAAAACAGGGGCACCTGGGTGGCTCAGTCGTTTAAATCCAACTTCGGCTCAGGTCATGATCTCACGGTTAGTGGGTTCGAGCCCCGTGTTGGGCTCTGTGCTGACAGCTAGCTCAGAGCCTGGAGCCTGTTTCAGATTCTGTGTTTCCCTCTCTCTCTGACCCTCCCTTGCTCATGCTGTCTCTCTCTCTCAGAAATAAATACAACATTAAAAATTAAAAAGAAAAAGAAAATGAAAAGACAAGCCACAGACTAGGAGAAAACATTTGCAAACCACGTATCTGACAAAGGATTTGCATCCAGAATAAACAAAGAACTCTCGATACTCAATTAAAACAACCCATTTTTTTTTTAATGGGCAAAAGATATGAAAAAATACCTTATCAGAGAAGATAGATGGACAGGAAATGTGTTCAACATCATTAGTCATAACAAAAATGCAAATTAAGACCACAGTAAGGTGCCTCTACACCCCTGCTGGGGGGTCTAAAGTTAAACAGAGAGACCACCCGACCACTGACAAGGACATGCAGATAACACGCTGCTGGGGGATGAGCAAAATGGTAGTATACACCTACCATACACCCAGACATTCTACTCCTAGGTATTTACCCAAAAGAAACGAAAACATATATCCATACAAAGACATATTAGAATGTTCATAGCAGTTTTATTTGTAATAGCCAAAATCTGTAGACAACCCAAATGTCTATCAACTGTAGCATACCCACATCACAGAATACTATTTAGCAATAAAAAGCAATCAACTATCAGTCCACAATAACAATATGGATGGATCTCAAAATAATTATGTTGAATGAGAAGCTAGGCAAAGCAGAATTCAAGATGTAGGATTCCAAGAATATAAACCAGTGGAAGATGAAAACTATAGTGCAAAAAGGGGGTGCATGTGTGTCTGGGAAGAGAGGAGCGGGGGGATAGGAGGGAGGGACCACCAAGTAGTACAAGGTACCTCTTGGGGGTGATGGGGTCATGTTCACTATCTATACTGTGGTACTGGTTTATTTTACAGGTGTATATTTATATCAAAACTTATCAATTGTTTGCTTTAAATGTGTGCAGTTTATTGCATGTCAATTATACCTCCAAAACGCTACTACAAAAATAAGCATTCACCAGCAAGTGGAACTGAAGCTCAAGCAGAGACTGACCTAAGTAATGAAAAAATAAGGAAAGTCCATTTTTGCATACTTGAGTGAAATATGTACCTACTAAACACACAGCGTTAAAAGTTATGATGGTGACACCTGGGTGGCTCAGTCAGTTAAGCATCCGACTCTATTTCAGCTCAGGTCATGATCTCACACTTCATGAGACTGGGCTCCACATCAGGCCTCAGTGTTGAAGCCTGCTTGGGACCCTCTCTCTCCCTCTGTCTGTTTCACTCCCACTGGTGCACACGTGCATGTGCGCTCTCTCTCAAAATAAATAAACATTAAAATAAATAAAATAAAAGCTATGAAGAACAGATTGGGACAAAATTTTAGGTTAACTTGGAGGTCAGACCACTGGCCACAACATTTTTCTATATGTGTCTCCTGAGGCAAGAAAAACAAAAGCAAAAATAAACTGTTGGGACTTCATCAAAATAAAAAGCTCTTGCACAGCAAGCAAAACCAACAAAATAAAAAGGTAACCTACAGAACAGGAGAAGACATTCACAAATGACAGGTCTGGTAAAGGGCAAGAATCGAAAATATGTAAAGAACTTACAAAACTCAACACCCAAAAAACAAACAATCCAATTAAAAAATAGGCAGGAGACAGGAACAGGCATTTCTCTAAAGAGGACATCCAGATGGTTAACAGGTACATGAAAGGATGCTGAACATCACTCATCATCAGGGAAATGCAAGTCAAAACCACGAGATACCTGTCAGAATGGCTAAAATCAACAACACAAGAAATAACAGGATTGGTGTGGATGCAGAGAAAGGGGAACCCTCATATACTATTGCTGGGAATGCGAACTGGTGCAGCCACTCTGGAAAACAGTATGGAGGTTCCTCAAAAAGTTAAAAATAGATCTACCCTATGATCCAGTAATCACACTACTGGTTATTTACCCAAAGAATATGAAATCGCTAATTTGAAAGGATATATGTATCCCTATGTATACTGCAGCATAATCTATAATAGCCAAATTATAGAAGCCATCCAAGCTGCTTCATCTATTGAATGGATAAAGAAGATGTATACATATAATGGAATATTACTCAGCCATAAAACGAATCAAATCTTGCTATCTGCAATGACACGAATGGATCTAGAGAGTATAATGATAAGTGAAATGAGCCAGTCACAGTAAGACAAGTATCATATGATTCTCTCACAATTAAGTGGAATTTAAGAAACAAAACAAGCAAACAAAGGGGACAGAGAGAGACAAACCAAGAAACAGACTCTTAACTATAGAGAACAAACTGGTGGTCACCAGAGGGAAGGTGGGTGGGGGCGTGGGAGGAACAGGTGAAAGGGATCAAGAGTACATTTATCATGACGAGCGCGAAGTAACACGCAGAATTGTTGAATGGCTATATTATACAGCGGAGACTAATACAACAGTGTAGGTTAACTACACAAAGAGAGTGGACGGAGATTTTATTTCAAAGAAAACAACAACCCCACATACACATAATACAAATGTAACTTCAGGGCTGCAAGCTCTCGGATTTCCTTCCCCCTCGCCCCCCGATTCTTTCCCTGACATTCGGAGCCCCAGACAACACACTCGTCACTGCACTGCCCGCAGAGAAAGGGATGGGTGAATGCCCTCTGCCAGCTGTTTTATAAGATACTTTCTCTTTGTGGCACAGAATCACAACCCGAGAGCCATGCTCCAGAAGCAGAAGCAGGAATCACCCAGCACCCCACTGAGCTCTCTCTAATTTGAAAGCTGTCTTTAAAGAAATGCTAATTTCCTCAGACCCTCCATCCCGCCCTTACACCCTCCTCCAGCCAGAGGAGCAGGCGCCCAGGCTAGAGGAGAAGCTGCGAGGGGGACCCCCTGTCCTCACCACTCAGGAGCCACCAGAGCAGCGGGATGAAGCCCGGGCTCTCGCTGATGTACTTGAGGCCTCTCAGGTTGATGCTCACGTTGTACAGCGCCATCAGCAGTAACCTGAAACGTAGAGAAGACAGGTTGAGGTGCTGCCCCACGTGGAGTCTCGCCCCCAACACGCCTCCTGGTGAGCACCGCAGGGGTCCTGCTCTACGAGCTAGGCGACAGGCACTGTAACGGGGTGTGGGTCCCCAGGACGCCACGGGAAACTGGGACGCTCCGGCAACAGGGGCACCTAAAACCACCTTTGGAAAGTGCACATAATTGCGGGACACGACTGCAGAGAGGGTCCCACAGGAAGCCTCAAGACCAGATTTACATAGTCCTCTCTTTTACTACCAGTCCTGCGCTTACACACAGGCAACCTGCAATTCACGTGTGCTGTGTTCTAACAGTTCCGTCCAGCTGCTTAAACCTATCTTTCATTCGCTGAAAATTATCCACAATATCGGGGTAGCACACTCAGGCCATACAACGTGTTTAATCCACAGCACAAGAGATGAAGAATGCCATAACCCCAGTCCTAACAACAGAAAAGACAGCATCCAGAGTTAATCAGGATCTTAGAAGCTATCTTAAGAACTGACCACAACTGTTAAGTTAGAGTCTAATGAAAACTGGAAAACCACCAGGCAGATTTCTAACAATACTGCAGAATAGAGATCCCAAAACCTCACATTGCAAAGCAATTTAAAAAATAAAAATAAAAAGGCTACACAAAGAATCTGCAAACCCCTGAAAGAATGGATGAGCTTGCAACAGTGCAGGGAAACTACCCCTGACCAGGAACTCGGTGAGAGTGCAAATTCAGGGAGGCGTGAGGGTAGACTCCAGAAACACACAGCCGTGGTGCAGCGGAGTGGCTCTGTGCAACGGGATGGAAGGAAGGGCCTCAGATGACAGGGCCTCAGGTCCCAGAGCCCCGCAGAAAACCAGGGGAGACTGAGCTGTCCGGCTGGGCATGGGTTCACTCACGCTTTGTGGATGGCCTGAAAATCCACAAGCCAATAATTTTAATACAAAGAGAGCTAGGATAGAATCCTCAACCTGGTCTTCAAAGAATTCCCACAAATACAGTACTAACAAATGTGAGTTCATAACAAAAATCACAAAAGCCATGAAAAACACGACCTCACAAATAAGAGCAGAGAGCGCCAGAATTTTAAAAAAAGAACTGTCACATACTAGAAGTGTCAATCGCAGAACAGAAAATGGGTATGTTTAGTAGGTATAGAAAATACAAAAAGAGGGGCGCCTTGGCAGCTCAGTTGGTTAAGTGTCCAACTTCGGCTCAGGTCGTGATCTCACAGTTTGTGAGTCTGAGCCCCGTGTCGGGCTCTCTGCGGTCTGCACGAAGCCTGCCTCACTCAGATCCTCTGTCACCTCTCTCTCTGCCCCTCCCCCACTTGCACACATTCTCTCTCAAAAATAAAAATAAATATTAAGAAAAATATAGCAATAAATTTAAGAAACAAGATAAAGGAGCTACTGAGTATTATAAATGGCCAGCCCATTCAAAGGAGAACCTAGAACTCACAAAAAATGAAATGGTGACAATCAAATGGTGCCATTCAGGGGACATGGGGCAGCTCAGGCTGATAGAGAGAGGCCCCACACAGAGACACAGAGGGAGTTAGGGGTGCTGCAGCGAGCAGAGCACAGGCGGGGAGGAGCGAGCGCAGGCAGGCGGGGACACAGCTCGGGGAGCACTACCGCGTGGGGCCAAACCGGCCCGGCCACGGCCAGCAGCACGGACTGCGTCCCCACAAGGCAGCCCCGAAGAGGTCCCGCGAGCAGCAGGGGCTGGAAAGCCATGGACGGCGCACAGAGTTTGCTGGTCACGCAGGAGCCAGAGCTGAAGAGCCGGGAAAGCTGGCCACCTGCCAGGACACACACTCCTTCTCTTCAGGAAGAGAGAACAGCGTCCAGAGTCCACAAAGACGGCCTGCGATGCCAGCATACGACGGAATATTTACCCGGCAGGGCCCACCAGGGTACAGAGAGTACGGCACTTGCTTGGGGTGCAAACGTAAGGGGTGCCAAACGTTCAGTAAACAAGGCTTTTGTAATGTATTGTACTGCAAACTTTTAAAAAAATCAGAACCACTGCAAAACTGCCATACTAAGCAATACGTCAACATTTTAAAGACGGACGGGATCGGTAACGGTGTCAGGCCAAGACTTGCTGGAGCCGGAAGCAGAAGAAAACAGAGAGTCAGTCCATTAACAAGGGACTGATTAAACAAACTGTGGTACACGCACACATGCGTGCCACAGAAAATGTTTACTAGTTTCCTGTTAAAAGAGTTGGTTTCTAAGCTCTGCAACTCATGCGTGTTTGCAGCCACGCAGCCTGCTGCAGGACCTGAGACCCCGGAAGCACACGGTTTCAGTGTGGACAGTGAGCCAACGCCAGTGGCTGGGAGCCCGAGCAGGGCACAGCGTGCAGAGACAGGCCGTGCTCGCCCCGTACTTCCACAGGCATCTTCCAAGTCAGAGTAACGCCACCACGTTCAGGAAGACAACACTGGGCTGGCACCCTCCAGGGCCGTGATGCTCCGTTCTCAGATTACAGCCCTCTGCCTTCTCACTGGCCACAAGATGAGCCAAACTTGCAAATCCTTTCAAGGTTTCCCACAAAATTTTACACATATCCAAAGCCTATTCACTAGGAATCTATTTAATGAGTTACTAAGAGTGGTTCATGCTGTATTCATGAGGAAAATTGAGCACTTTACCTAGAACTTTCTGAGGCCTCTAATCCAGGATTCTAAGAAGAGAGTTCTTTTTTCAGATCACCGACACAGGTTGTCGGAATTCCCTAAAATTAAATGCACTGTCCTTGCCGCTCCCAGGCTACGACAGCGGGGCTGAGTCACTGCCACACAGATGGTATGGCGCACAAAGCCACAAGTCCTTTCTGTCCCACCCTTTACAGGTAAGTTTGTGGCCCCTGCCTTAGAGAATGAAAATAAGCTAGCTGATCTTTTTTTTTTTTTAAAGCTAGCTAATCTTTAAATCTTAAAAGGCAAAATGAACACCTGAGTGATAGCTGGAATACGGGGCAAGTTCCAGGAAATACAGTCAGTTGAAATGCCCCACTGACTACCATGTAACTTTAAGGTGGCAAAAACAATTCGTAATATTGATAAATACCTTTAAAATTCATCTTTGGTCAAAATCAGCCATCCAGAAGCAGCTAAAATGGAACAAAGGTAATTGCAGTGACCTCATGTCATTGCCAGGCTGCATCCCACAGAAGACCAGAGACTTCTCCAAGGTCACACAGGACTTAGCAAACAACAAACCCAGAAAACTTTCTGTTCCAAGATTTCTACTCTAATCACAAATATTTTGCAAATAATGTATCAGATTTCCGACTGCAAAGTCAAGACAAAATGCAGAGTCGACTCTTCTGGCACTGAGGCATTAAAAGTAAATGTCATTTCCCAAACTACTGTAGTACCAGGAGTCCGACTTCCCTCCAGTGACATAAAAAGGTAGGCAAATTCTGCTTCCTTCCACAAAGCCAAGCAGAAGACTGGCTACAAACAGACAGACAGGCTTCCAGGGCACCCTGCAGTCTCCGTGGTCTTGGGAACCGTAGGCACATCTGACATTGACAGAGTAAGGACTGAAATCAAGGCTACAATAAAGATACTGGCAACCCTGAAATGGCACAAAAGCACCACAAGAAACTCTCTTTCAAAAAAAAGGACCTTCTCTCCACCCAGCTTTCCCAGGCCTGGGGCTGAACAGATGGGCCTGGTAAGAAGTCAGGAAGCCCTCCTGACTGAGGGACAGATGAGGCTGAGTCATCAGAAGTAAAGGTGACACTCCTGAACTATCTCACTCCTCTTAAAAGAAATGACAACTGGAGATAACAAAGAACAGCCACACCCAGGACTTCAAAACAACCCAACAATAAAAAACAAAAAGGCATAACCTCTGGAAACAAAAACCACAACTGGTCATCTGGATTAAAATCAAAAGTAGCCAAATTAGCACCATCAAGTAATGCTAAGGAACAATGAGCAATAAAATGCTTACAAAAGACTGCAAATGTTGAGAGAGAAGCAAATGGCAGAGCAATACAAGCAGACACTTCAGACCACACGCTGCACAGAAGCCAGTGGGTAGAGGACTCCCAACATAGATACTGGTAACCAGCAGTGTGTTCTCTCTAATTAAGAGGCTGTTTCTTCCTTTGCTTCTTTTTTTCCGCTTTGCTCATTTGTTTCTTAAATTCCACATATATTAGCCAGGTATGATACTTGTCTTGCTCTGACTTATTTCACTTAGCATAATACTCTCTAGAGCCAACCATATCGTTGCAAATGGCAAGATTTCATTCTTTCTTAATTCTGAATAAGATTCCATTTTATGTATATAGATACCTATATATATTTATTTTATATATATAGACATCTATATATATACACACACACACACACACAAATATGTATATATAGATACACACATACATGGATACATACATACCACATCTTTTTTTTTTTTTTAATATTTTTTATTTATTTCTAGGAGAGAGAGAGAGAGAGACAGCGTGAGCAGGGGAGGGTCAGAGAGAGAGGGAGACACAGATTCCGAAATTGGCTCCAGGCTCTGAACTGGCAGTCAGCACAGAGCCCGACGCAGGGCTCGAACCCACGAACCACGAGATCATGACCTAAGTGAAAGTCGGACGCTCAACCGACTAAGCCACCCAGGCGCCCAATACATACCACATCTTCTTTATTGATTCATCAGACGATGGACATTTGGGAGCTTCCATAGTCTGACTATTGTAAATAATGCTGGTATAAACGATGGGGTGCATGTACCCCCTTGAATCAGTATTTTTGTATCCTCTGGGTAAATACCTAGTAATACAATTGCTGGATCTTAGGGTAGCTCTATATTTAACTTTTTGAGGAAACTCCATACTGTTTTCCAGAGTGGCTGCACCAGTTTGCATTCCTACCAACAGTGGAATAGGGTTCCCTTTTCCCCACATCCTTGACATTACTTGTTTCTTATGTTGTTGACTTTAGTCATTCTGA